AGAATGAAAATGAAAAGAGAATTTATCAGAATTTGTTGCATGCAGCTAGCGCTGCTCAGTGACAATGTGGAATCTTGAAAAAGGTGTGAAAATGACATGATTTGTTATTTCCTATCTGGTATTTTAAATAATTTTGAACTATGGACAGAGGTACGTAATATTGTACAGGAGGCAGCGAAAAAAACCATCTCAAAGAAAGAGAAAAGCAAGAAGGCACAGCAGTTATCTGGGGAGGCTTTACAAATAGCTGAAGAAAGACAAGAAGTGCAAAGTAAGGGAGAAAGGGAAAAGTATATCCAGCTAAACAAAGAGTTCCAAAGAATAGCACGGAGAGACAAGAAGGCCTTATTAAATGAACAGTACATAAAACTAAAAGAAAAAAAATAAGGGGAAAGACTGGAGATCTCTTCAGGAAAATTAGAAATATCAAGGCAACATTTTGCCCAAAGATGGGCACTATAAAGGACAGAAATGGTAGAGACTTAGTAGACACTGAAGAGATCAAGAAGAGATGTTAAGAATACATGGAAGAACTATACAAAAAAGATCTTAATGAACCAGATTGCTTCAATCATGTGGTCAGTCACATTATGAAGAGTGAAGTCAAGTGGGCCTTTGGAAGCACTGCTGTTAATAAAGCTAGTGGATGTAATGGAATTCCAGTAGAACTATTCAGAACCCTAAAGGATGATGCCATCAAGGTGTTGTACTCAATATGTCAGCAAATCTGGAAGACCCAGCAGTGGCCCCAGGACTAGAAAAGGTCAACCCTCATTCCAATTCCCAAGAAGGGTAATACTAAAGAATGTGCTAACCATCGGACAGTTGCACTCATCCTCCATGCTAGTAAGGTCATGCTTAAAATCTTATGTGCTAGGCTTCAGCATTATGTGAATCAAGGCCTTCCAGATGTCCAAGCTGGATTTTAAAAAGGCAGAGGAGCCAGAAATCAAATTGCCAACATTCATTGGATCATAGAAACCAGAAAAAAACAGAAAAAGGAATTCCAGAAAAACATCTTACCTCTGTTTCATTGACTATGCTAAAGCCTTTGACTGTGTGGATCATAACAAACTGTGGAAAGCTCTTAAAGAGATGGGAATACCGGACTCATTGGTTCAAGATTGAGAAAGGAGTACAACAGGGCTGTCTGCTGTTACCCTGTTTATTTAACCTATACCTGAGCATATCATGAGAAATGCCAGGCTGTGGTAGTTACAAGCTATAATAAAGATAGGCGGGAGAGACATAAACCTCAGATATGCGGAAGATACCTCTCTAATGAGAGAAAGCAAAGAGGAGCTAAGGAGCCTCTTGATGAGGGTGAATGAGGAGAGTGAAAGAGCCAGCTTAAGACTAAATGTTAAAAGAAAAAAAAAAAAAAAAACTGACCATGGCATTTGACCCCATTACTTCATGGCAATAGAAGGGGAAAAGGTGGAAGTAGTGACAGATTTCCTCTTGGGTTGTTAAATCACTGCAGATGGTCACTGTAGCCATGAAATCAGAAGACGTTTGCTTAGCAGGAAAACTATGACAAATCTAGACAGGGTGTTGAAAAGTAAGACATTACTTTGCTGACATAGGTCCGTATCATCAAGGCTATGGTCTTCCCAGCGGTCATGTATGGTTGTGAGAGCTGGACCATAAAGAAGGCAGAACACCAAAGAATTGATGCCTTTGAACTGTGGTGCTGGAGAGGATGCCTGAAAGTCCATTGGACAGCAAGGAGATCAAAGCAGTCAATGTTAAGGGAAATCAACCCTGAATACTTGTTAGAGGGACTAATGCTGAAGCTGAAGCTCCAGTATTTTGGTCATCTGATGCAAACAACCGACATGTTGGAAAAGTCCCTGATGCTGGGAAAGACTGAGGGCAGAAGGAGAAGAGGGCATCAGAGGATGAGATGCTGGATGGCATCACTGATGCAATGAACATGAACTTGGGTAAACTTCAGGAGATGCTGAGGTCTGGGAGGACTGTGTGTCCATGGGGTTGCAAAGAGTTGGACACAATGACATAGAATAGAAAGCACTGTATGTAGTTTAATTTTGGCAAAAATATATGTTATTTAATTTTTTTAATATATAGATGCTATATTCAAAGAAGAAGTCAGGAAAACTATACACCAGTTGACAAATAGTGTTTGTCTCTGGAGCAGTGGTTCTTAAGGTCAGGGATGCAGGTCTTTTGCCTCAGGGGACATTTGGCAATGTCTCAGGACACTTTTGGAGAAGGACGTGGCAACCCACTCCAGTACTCTTGCCTGGAAAATCCCATGGGTGGAGGGGCCTAGTAGCCTACAGTCCCAGGGGTCGCGAAGAGTCAGACACAACTGAGTGACTTCACTTTCACTTTTCACTTTCATGTGTTGGAGAAGGACGTAGCAACCCACTCCAGTGTTCTTGCCTGGAGAATCCCAGGGACGGGGGAGCCTGGTGGGCTGCCGTCTATGGGGCCACACAGAGTTGGACACGACTGAAGCAACTTAGCAGCAGCAGCAGCAGAACATTTTGGGTTTTTACAATTTGGAGAATGCAACCAAATTAGGACTCACTAAAAAATAAAAAAAAGAAAGAAAATACTTCCTAGAATGTTGTATATGAAAATTTAAAATATACTTCTAAATAAGTTATGTCAAAAACATTGCTAGGAAATATATAAAGGAAGTTAAATCTTGTATCAATAGTTAGAATACAAATGAACAAACAACATACGATTCCATAATCAACATGCTGACAAAAATTAAAGTGTGATAACAGCAAATAGTTCACTTTTTTAAAATTTAAATGGTGTCCAACTGGATGAATGTATTATTATTATCCATTCTCTAATTGATGGACTTTTTAGAATTTCTCCAGTCTGTTTTTTATGACATTTTACATATCTCCTCATCATAGGGTATATATACTGTCAACTTTCTTAGATACTGTAAAATTGTTTCCAAACTGGTTGTACCAATTTATGCACAACACTAGTATATAAGCACTTCTTTTCTTCTACATTCTTAACAACATTTGCTGTTATCACACTTTAGTTTTTGTCAGTATGTTCAATATTAAACTATAACACTGAGGTAAAAGATAAAAATAATTTGTAAGGCTATCCTTTGCCTTATACTGTTCATGTGAAATCATAAATATATAAGAGTAGGTGTTATTAAAGAATAAATGTAATGGCCTCAAATCCTGAACAGGAAGGCTACCTTAGCTTTAGGATACTGGTTCCTGCTGAGAACAATGGAGAAAGCTTTCAGCCAAGTGTATAATGTTTATTTGTTAAATAGGCAGATACCAATGAGTGTCTATTTAGGTGTTCTTTGTATTATTGTTTTTCCTTTTTTTTCCTTTTTTTCTGTATCTGGAATTTTTATGACTAAAGGAAAAAACTGTCAAAAGTTAAGAATCATTATCCTATGTTATGCAAGGCTATGACTGTATAGACAGGGCAGGCAGATGATGCTGACTTAAGCTCTAGAATCACTTTTGAAGAAATCTCCTGATGTTTTCCCTTCTTCTTGTTTACTTTTCTCGCTATGCCCAGCCATCTATACATTGACCTATTTATTTTTGCTGCGGGAGTCTAGCTGGCTGCAGTCCATGGGTTCACAAAAAGTCGGACACGACTGAGCAAATAAGCACACACACTCTGTACACACTTTATTAAATTGCATATTACACTAGTTACATTTATTTATATGTTGTTTTCACCATAGAGATGATGGTAGGTAGTGGCAATATCTTATCTGTATGTCCCTTTGCATATTTCAGTGAATAACAAATAGTAAGCACTAAATACATATTTGGTAAATGAAGTGATGGATGACTTAGCAGATTTCAAAGGAGGAAGCAATATATAAAGGGCAATTACTAGTATTAACTTTTACCTACATTTTAATTTTGATGTTCTTGCCAGAATCTAATAATAGGTCATCTAGTTAGATTTTATGCATTAGTGTATGGCTATATTTTGCTATATATAACCTTTGAACCTAAACCAACAGTGATTTCCATTAGAGTTTTGTTTATCTTAAACCAAAAAGAAACCTGAAAGAAGGTAATCCAGGGCTGGCATGGAGGTTCCTCATGCTTTAAGTATCTTTCTGCTCCACCATCTTTATTGAGGTAGCTCATGAACCAAGATAACTTAAATTCCAGCAACCTTTTCTTTCTTGCCTCCTTTCTTTTTCTTCTTTCATTCTTTTTTTTCTTCTTTCTTTTAATTAAGACTTAAGTGAGAAGGAAAAGGGACAAGAAGCACCTACCCCTACTTTTGAAAGACTTGCTGGAAGTTCCCTGCAAGTTTGCCTTCCATCTCCTTGACTAGTACATGGTCATATGGCCTCATCAAGCTGAAAAGGAGGCTAGGAAATATCTTTTAGCTATTTGATGATGTTTTTAGCTAGAAATTGTGGTTCTGTTACTAAAGAACAAGGAGAGAGTAAACATTGAAATAGTAATACAACTATCAGTCTCGAAATTTTAACCAATTATGGGTACTAAAAAGAGACAGTAGAAAGAAGTGGGTTCCAGAGAATGCTTTTTAGTTTATTATTTGTTTAAGCTTGCCCATAAACAAACCAAAAATTAGAATTTTTTGTATTCGACCCAATTCTTGGCAACCTTAGTTTTGGTCTCAAGTACAAAATATCAAACAAAAAGTTGACATTAAGTCAGATTTATTAGAATTTTCTTGCATTTTTCTTCTTCCTTGTCACATATTTTTAAAAACTAAGAAATAGTTTGAATTTTGGTTCTAGGGATATGCTTACAAATTTGACACTGGCTAAAGTGCCAGCTTTCCTTGGGGGAAAAAGTGAGGTGGTGGAAGATCAAGAAGATAATGTTTAATGGAAAATTAATTCATAAATATTTATCAGACCTTTTTTGATCATGGTCACTGTTCCGGATATTGATTCTTTTCACTGGGTTGTAAAATAATGTATAATTATTCTTTGGAGATTTGTAAAAATTGCTTCACATACATCCTTTCCATTCCAGGCTCTAAATTATCTTGGAATTCAGCCCACAAAAGAGCAACACCAAGCCCTGAGACAGCAAATACAAGTAGACCCAAAGGGGACAGTGTCTTTTGGAGGTAACGTGAGGTTCATCATGTTGCATCATCACAGAAACTTGGTCAAAGAGTTGCTGTGGCCCATATTCATTAAGAGTGCCTCTTCTTTAGAAGGAAGAAAAGAAAAACAAAAACCACTTCTATTAATATGTCAAGTTCCTTAAAGGGTGGGACTTTGTTGGTGGCTCAGCGGTAAATAATCCACCTGTAAAGCAGGAGATGCGGATTTGATCCTTGGGTCATGAAGATCCCCTGGAGGAGGGCCTGGCAACCCACCCCAGTATTCTTGCCTGGAGAATCCCATGGACAGAGGAGCCTGGAGAGCTATATACAGTCCATGAGGTCTCAAACAGTCAGACACAACTGAAGCGACTGAGCATGCACATAATGCCTTAAACAGTATTCTAAAAACTCAAAATTACTGGCCTAACTGAGTCAACAGAAAGGAGAGCTTTCTTAGACTCTTTCAGCTTTAAAATATCATTCTATTGTGTTATGGTCTATTTTTAATTTATTGCATAAATGTTACTTTAGTAATAACTAAAGAAATAATACAAAATACAGAAGCCCTAGTTCTGCTATTATGAAAGTCTAAACTTTTTTTTCAACCAATATGATATAATAATATCATAGACCGCACTATTGGAAATGTTGATGGTTTTTCATTAACTGATAATATAAATAATTCTATATTTATATAGCTTTTTTCTTCTTTCTCTTAGGATAAATTCCCACAAGTGGCTTAGACTTTTCATATGTATTGATAAATTGTTTTTCAGAGAGATTTTACACACATATTTGTTCTGCCACTAGTAATGTTTGAATGTAACTGTTTTTTGTATCCTTAACAGCATTAAGAATTTAATAATTTTTTTATAGAGTAGATGCAACATTGTATCATTCTAAAAGCATCAGCATTGCTAAAGAAAGAAATTTGGGGTTTTGAAGTGCTAAAAAAATATATTTGCTCCCCTCTCCTTTTGAAAATCACCAAATAATGAGAACAAGAAACAGAAATACATGTACAACCAGCATGTATAAGGACAGAAAGTAAATGAGGACAGTAAATGAATTAGTGAGCAGAGGCATGTAAAGCCCAAGTGATTGAAAAGACAGGGGAATCACAGCAGGAACAAGCCAATTCCTATAAAGGTTTAGGAATTGAGAGCATCAGGTACTTAAGGCTGGGTGTAGGCAGGGCATTTAGAACAGAGTTGTTAGGAATCTATTTAAGGAGCAATTAGGTATGCTTTTCCCTGCCCTCTTTCAAGCAATCCAGCAACTACCACTCCCTTACCCTTGCAGAGGAAAATAAGTCTATCCTCTTGAGAAATTAAACCAGATTGATTCTGGACCTATAGTTGCCAGCAGCTAGGGAATTTAGGGGTATGTATGGTGAATTATCTCTCACAACACACACTCAGATTGCTCAGTGATATTTGCAACCATATTCATACCCTATGGGTAGGGTAACCAGTTGTAGGAGTTTCTCCAAAGAACCTGAACAAGACATCAAAATAGTTGGCTACCTGAAGTGAAACCCACTGGCTAACAAAGAGAGTTATGCACACAAAATTTCCAATCAATGATTTAGTACCTAATTTTTCTTGAATGTAAACTTAAAGCCAGGATTTAAGAGACATTTGGAGAAATCCTTCAATGTAGAATGTAAAGCCCCAAAGTGGCAGATAAATAGAAAAAGAGGAACTCAGAAAAAAGGAATATTGCAAGAGCAGAGAACTTCAGGTAAACCATATATTAGAAACAATAAACAAAACTAAGCTTTCCATGAAATAAAGTAGGATATTGTAAAATAGGAACAATTAAAAAGATCATTGGAAAGTAAAAATATAATAGCCAAATTTTTTTTAAAAATTGAAGATAGATGAACATGTCTAAAGAAACTTACAGTTTGCCAGGTTGGCATTAGGCAGTGTTATATAACAACCAAGAGAATATGTCTTTGAGTCAGACTTTAAATGGAATCTTGCTCTGCTACTTATTTGCCAAGTTGACTTATCTTAGCCGCAAACTATAAAATGGAGAGGATTAAAGGGTCTATCTCAGAAAATTCTGGAGATGAAATTACAAAGTGCCATTCCTAGCATTTGAGGCAGTTACAGAAACATTCACTGCTATTATTATTATTACTGCTACTACTATTGTTGTTGTTATTAATCCTATTTAAGTCAGTTAAATTTTAACCGTTATTATAACATATAGCTTCAACTTCATGTAGAGAAAGGTAAAGTTTACTTAGATAAGGTTAAGTGCTGTATTCTTACTGAAATGTGTTCCGTTTTAGATTTTGTCCACGTTGCCAAAAACTTGTTTTGCTTGCAATTGGATGAAGCCAATGTAAATGCACATGAAATTACCAGCATATTAAATTCACAGGTAGAGTATGCCCTATAGAATTGTCTTAATTGCACTTAAGTCATGTCTTAAATGGACTTCCCTGGTAGCTCAGCTGGTAAAGAATCCGCCTGTAATGCAGGAGACCCGAGTTTGATTCCTGGGTCGGGAACATCCCCTGGAGAAGGGATGGGCCACCCATGCCAGTATTCTTGGGCTTCCCTGGTAGCTCAGACAGTACAGAATCTGCCTGCAGTGCAGGAGACCTGGGTTTGATCCCTAGATTGAGAAGATTCCCTGGAGAAGAGCATGGCAATTCACTCTAGTATTCTGGCCTGGAGAATCCCCATGGACAGAGGAGCCTGGGGGGCTACAGTCCACGGGGTCACAAAGAGTCGGACTTGACTGAGTGATTAAGCACAGCACAGCACGTCTTACGTGTTACATGTCACATACATATGCTTGCTTGTTTTTTAGAAAATAAGTTAAGCAGATTAAACGTGCTTCCTGGGTAAATATATGAAATACAGATAATTTAAAAATCAAAAGTGAAATTTTGTCTTGATCTCCTTTATCCTCCTCTCTCACTATGCCGTTATGATACTCTCGTCTTTAAGTTTACCACAGAAGAGTACTATATCTGAAATGTTAACCCTAAAATATTGCAGTCTGAACCATCTTTGTGTAGTCAGCACCCACACCAAGAAACGCAGGGTTAAAGAGACCACTGGGACCCTGATGTCTCCACTCCCACGCTCCTTTCTAGTTCTCTATTCTGACCCTCCCCACCCCAAGTCAAGGTAACAGGCTACTCTTTGGCCCTCCAACAACATAGATCTGTTCTTCTATTTTTGTGCTTTATCTGAAATGAAGTCATGAAGTCTGTTAACTTCGTAAGTCATTTGTTCTATAAAACTTTGATATTTTTATTGTCAAATCTTTCAGTTCTTTCCTTTATGGATATTTGGTACATTATTAAGGAAGATCTTTTCATTTTATAGTATATATATATAACATACTCTTTATAAATAATTTTTGTTTATTCATGAGGTTGGGCCTCAAATAAATAACCACTTGCCCTTATTCATCATCATTTATTCAGTAACTATCCTTTTCCACTTTTGCAGCTAATTTAAAATACAGATTTTAATATGTCCTAAATTTCATATGAATACTCAAGATATTTCTAGACAAACCACTCTATTTCATTGGTCTATTTCTTTCTGCCAGGACAGTATTATCTTGATTACCCTAGCTTAATAGATCTAGGTTGATATCTGTTAGGTCAAGTCTTTCCTTCTTTTGCTAGCTTCTTGATTTTTATCTAACTACATGATCTTTAGAATCATTGTGCAATGGTAATGAAAATTCAGTTGGGACTTTCTGTTTTTAATTGGAATTTTATTGACTATAGAGGATGGTTTAAGAGAAGTGAAATGGTTTATTTCTTCATTCATTTAGGTCTTTGTTGATGTTTGGAAAGAGGAAATTATATCTTGCTTCATAGTGGTCTTGAATATTTCTTGTTAAGTCAAATAGGTAAACTATAGTTTTTGATGCTATTGAAACTGGGACTTTTTTTTAGTCATTATATTTTCTAATTTATTAATAAAAATTGATTTTTGAATGGCTATTTTGTGTGATGCCACTGTACTGAACTCCCTCATTCTAGTTATTTTTCAGTTATTTATCTTGAGTTTTCTAGGTAGACATTTGAAGTTAATTACTTTTGTCTCTTTCACAATTTTTTACTTTTTCTGAATGCTATTGAATAAGAGCTACAAAATGGAGCAAGAACCTAATTTCCATGATATTTGAGCCATTTTCCATTTTTAATTTCTGAAAAAGAAACTACCATTATCTTACTTAATGAACAAGTTTTATGGTTAGCCATTGAACTACATATGTTTGTACTGTACAGGTCCACTGCATCACAGGTTTTTTTTCAGTATTATATACTATAGTACTACATAATCCAAAGTTTGTTAAATGCCTGGGTGCAAAATCACAGATGTGGAGGGCTTACTGTAAAGTCATACTCAGATTTTCCACTATGTAGAGGATCATTGCCCCTAACCCCTCACATTGTTCATGGGTCATCCAGTTCTGCTGAAGCAATTTAAATAATAGAAACTTTACCTGTTCCTTGAAGGCTTGAAAATGTTTCATATGCCAAGTGATTGGGGCCTAGATCTTTCAGGAGAGGGGATGTTTCCTATATAATGTCTTCTAAGGTGGCTTTATTCAAATGTTTGTTCTCTTCTTGGGTAATGTTGTTGATCTACATTTTCCTAGAAAAAAATTCTTTTCATCAAGATATTAAAATCTATTAAACATTAGCATGGATTTTTTTCAAATTTTTAATCCTTATTTTTGATGATACTGCTTTTTATGTTATAGATATACTGTACAATTTTTTTTTTTTTATTCCATCACACAGCTTATGGGATCTCAGTTTCCAAATTAGGAATCAGACCCAGGCCTCTGCAGTGAAAGCAATGAATCCTAACCACTAGACCACCAGGGAACTCCCAACACAATTTTTACAGAGTACTCACACCCACAAGTTTTTCTGTGTCCTTAAGTGTTTGACTGTGGTGGGCCTTTGTTGCTGAGCATGGGCGTTCCCTAGCTGCAGTGAGCAGGGCTGCTCTTGGCTGGGGTGCGTGGGCTTCTCATTGCAGAGCACCGCCTCTATGTGTACTGGCTTCAGGAGTTGCAGCATAAGGGCTCAGTGGTTGTGGCACATGGGCTTACTTGCCCCGTGGCGTGTGGGATCTTCCTAGACCAGGGCTTCAGCCTGCGTCCCCTGCATTAGCAGACAGAGTCTTAACCACTGGACCAACAGGAAAACCCCATATCCCTAAGTTTTTATAGGTAATATTTTAATAATCACTCAACAGTATATAATTTTTCTGTTGTGGATATGTCTTTGACTTATTTTAAACTGTTTTAAACATTTTCTAGTGATATACTATAGTTCCCTTTTGGTTATTGATTTCTAGTTTAATTTAGAGGGCCATATTCAGAGACATATTCACAGACATATTTAATTCAGACATATTCTGTGTGGTATTAATCCTTTGACCATATACCCAGCATCTAGTCAATTTTATGGAATGTTTTCTGTTGTGTGAAAAGCACGTATGTTTTACAGTTGTTGGGTGCAGTGCTTTCTATGTGTCAGGTCAAGGTTCAGATCATGTGATTCAAATTTTCTATTTGAAAATTTTCCCTTTCATTACTTATTTTTTGTTGTTGTTGTTGCCTTTTATTGTATTGTCTGTAACTGAGAGACAGATGTTTTAAAATTTCCTCCATTTGGCTCTGCTAATTTTTGCTTTGCATATCATGAGCTTTTATTATTATTTTTATTTTAGAGTTGTCATAGTCTGACAGGTTGTTGAATCTCTTCATCTTGAGAATGTTTCTTGCTTTAAAACTACCTTAGTCTAATTGTGTAATGGTTGGTTGTTTGGTTTTGTTTCCAATTATTATAAACATAGTTTTTAAAAGTTATAATTAAAATGTATTATTATATTAGTTTCAGGTGTATAATATAGAGAATGAGTTTTATACATTATGAAATGATAGCAACAATAAAACCAGTTACTACCTATCATGATAAATGTTGTTACAATGTTATTGACTGTATTCTCTATGTATACATTACATCCCTATGACTTGTTTATTTAATATATTTGGAACTTTGTATGTCTTAATCCCCTTCACCTATTTCACATCCATCCCCACCTGTCTCCCCTCTGGCAGCCACCTGTTTGCTTTCTGTATGTATAGTCAGTTTCTGTTTTGTTTTATTCCTTTTGTTTGTTTTGTTTTTTAGGTTCCACATGTAAATGAGGTCATATGGTATTTTTTTTTTTCTGAATTATTTCACTTAGTGTAATACCCTTCATGTTTACCCATGTTGTCACAAATAGCAAGATTCCTTCTTTTCATGGCTGAGTAATAATATATGTATGTTGTATAATATTAAATATATAACATCATATATATGCATGTGTGTGTGTTTATATATATGTTTATACACACATACCACATCTTTGTTTGTTCATCCATTGACAGACACTTAGGTTGTTTCCATGTCTTAGCTTTTGTGAATAGTGCTGCGACACATCTTTGTAAAGTCGTGTTTTATTTTTCTCCAGATAAATACCCAGAAGCGGACTTGCTGGGCTGGATGGTAGTTCTCTTCTCGGTGTGTAAAAATCCTTCATTTGTTTTGGCTGTGGGGCCTTTGTTGCTCTGCACAGGCCTTCTCTAACTGTGGTGAGCAGGGCCTGCTCGGGTTGCAGCACCGAGCTTCTCACTGTGGTGGCTTCTCCTGTTGCGGATCCTGGTGCTGGAGCCCCCAGGCTTCAGTAGTCGCAGTTCGTGTGATTCAGTAGTTGTGGCGCCCAGGCTCCAGGGCACGCATGCTTCCATAGTTACAGTGCCCTGTGGTATAGATTCTTCCTCTGCTGGGGACTGAACCTGTGTCCCCTGCATCGGCAGGCAGACTCCCAACCATTGCACCACTAGGGCAGTCCTCTTTTCAGTTTTTTGAGGAAGCTGCATACTGATTTCCAAAGTGGGTGCAACAATTTACAATCCCACTGACAGTGTGAGAGTTTTCCTTTACTTCACATCCTTACCAACACTTATTTATAGTCTTCTTGATAATAAGCATATGATATGTGTGAGGTGGTATCTCAGTGTGGTTTTAATTTACATTTCCTTGATGATTAGTAATGTTTAGTACCTTTTCAAGTTCCTGATAGCTGTCAATATATCTTCTTTGGTAAATGTCTGTTCACATCCGCTGCCCATTTTTAATTGAGGTTTTTGTTCTTTGATAATGTGTTGTATGAGTTTTTTTTGTATTTTGATATCAACCCCCTTATTGTATATATCATTTGCAAATAACATCTCTCATTCAGTAGGTTGCATTTTCATTTCGTTGGTGTTTTCATTTGCTGTACAGAAGCTTTTTAGTTTGATTTATTCCCATTTGTTTATTTTTGCTTTTGTTGCCCTTGCTT